TGAAAAAATAATATGAACCTTGCCACTTAACACCATGTAAATGCCACAGGGAAGGGTGGATAGGGAGTAACTTAAAAGTGTTTACAATATCAGTTTTACTAAGCCATGCCCCTACCCCGGCAGAGAGGATGGCAGTGATGGCATTATCTATGGTCGTATATTGAAGGGAAAATTCTTCTGATGGAATAAGAGAATTGAGACTTGGGGTAGGTGATGCATGGGGAGCAGATAGGTCGAGAATTAACCTTTGCTTATTTGAGGATTTATTAGTGACCAGTCCTATGGGGTTAGTTCTCCAGACCGCGAAAGGCGGGGAGACGAAAGGGCCTATTAAGAAACCTTGGTCAACTTCCTTCTGGAGGAGTAGGTTAATAGTGTCGGGAGCTGCTAGGGCTGTCTGCAAGTTTTTACATTCCAAGATTCCTGTAGGCATGTGAATAATACCCGTGTGAAACCCCAAAGTAAATCCTGTCCCCAAAAACTCAACGAGATGTTGAGATGGGTGCTCACACAAGAGCTCTTCCAGTAGGGAGACATTAAGAGACGATGAGTACTGCTTAGGATATAATTTATTGGGGCACATTACTTTGGAGTGAGCCCTGAAACATTGGGAGCAGACATGTAGTAGTCTGTAGGCACTGTATCCACAAGTGCCAGTTTTAAAATTATTACAGACTTGCGATTTCCCTAAAAACACTATATCGCGGCCTAGTTTGTCTTTCAGCACCCTGCCTGTTCTCCCAGTGGGCATTACGCTAGTAGGGGGAAAAACGTCATTCACCTCCGGAGAGTTAGGGCACAGATTAGCCGTGTGGGAGTTGGACGAGCAAATGGCCCAAGCTGGGGTTTTGAGGCCCGCAAAGTGCTGACAAAAAAGCTCTGTATCAAGTACACTCCAATCAGTTTGATAATTGAACTGAGAAAGAGCAGCCGACGCCTTCGCGGAAAAGGCACGGTGGTAGTCGTAAAAGGCCGTACCACCGTACTTGTGCCCCAAATCCACCAGCTTGTGGAGATAAAGGTCCAATTCTTCTCTCCTATCCGGATATACAGAGCAAATCACATCTCTGTATATCCCGAAAGCCAACACAAATTCGGGAATAGATAGTTTTCGATTCAACCTAGGGTCCCTAGATTTTAACACAACCGACACATCCCCATAAGCATAGGTTTTATTCTCAAGGACATCTTGCGAGGCTATAAGAAGTGATACCAGATTGATATCCTTCCCTTCCAAGATGTCCTTCTTAGTGTTTGCAGGCACCATATGTGCCGGATTAATAATATGTTGGTTTTTAAGACCGGTTGGTATATTACCCGGTAGGGGGTCCAGGTGCACCGTGGCGACCGGAGTCCCTAATGCAGAAGATGACCGTTGCTGGCTATCTGCATCCATCTTGTCGAGTTTATCAGTAATACGACTCAAAGAGGAAAAAACGGTATGCAGATCAGAAGACTGGCTGCCACTGGACCCTTGCCCCGCCCCTGAGTTATCAGTCTGAGTATTCAATAGTCTGTACAATTCTGCTTTCCTAGCAATAGCTGGGAAAGGAATATTCCTCTTGCATAGTTCAGCAGTGATCCGAGGAATTGTCCATGCCCTGAGTGATGCAGGGCTCGCATTGTCGTCACCCCGGGATGGAGTGACCGATCTAGCCGGTGTGCTGGGGATGGACATCCCTTCCCCGCCTTTGGGTATTTGTGACATGCTACAACATAAAATAATATGTTACCTGGGGTCCTACCCAACTGGCTGGTGTAACTAATGCCAA